GGGTACTTATAAGTCTACTTATTTCCTACATACTAAGTCTTCCGACCCTCCAAGTAAGCCAGGGAAACCAGGACCCCTCCAAGTGCCCTCTAATGAGTCTAGGAAAGGCCACCTCCTTCCCCAAACCCTAACCCCCTAAACCCCTAAAGCCCTAGAAACCCTAAACCCTAAACCCCTAGAAACCCTAAAGCCTAAAGTTAAACCCCTTCACTCTAAACCCTAAACCCTAATCCCCTAAAGCCCTAAACCCCCAGAAACCCTAAACCCTAAACCCTAAACCCTAGACCCCAACCCCACCTCCTTCAGACCCTCATCAGGTCCAAGGCCCTCGGCAGAAGGACCCTTACATCGGAGGACGATACCACCTCGCGACTCGGCTTTAGAGTTTAGGGTTTAGGGGTGTTGGGGTTTATAGGGGTTTAGGGTCTAGGGGTCTAGGCTTTGGGGTCTAGGGGTATAGGGTTTATAGGGGTTTTGGGTCTAGGGGTCTAGGCTTTGGGGTCTAGGGGTGTAGGGTTTAGGGGTTTAGGGTTTAGGGCTTAGGGGTTTAGGGCTTGGGGGTTTAGGATAAGGTTGAAGGGGCTTGGGGCTTAGGGTGCAGGTATTGAGCTTTAAGGTTTAGGGATTGGGGTTAAGAGGTTCAGGGATTAATTTGGGGGCCTTGGTAACTAGAATAGGGTTTTGGGCCGTTGCACAGTATAGTGATAGTAAGGAACCCTAGGGAATTATACTGGAAATTATTTAGGCTTCTATCTATAGTAGGGGTTTAGGGTGCCGCGCGATCTCATTAAAGAAGAGAAGCAGCTCCTTCAACGTAGTGGCCTTGATCGTTGGAATGGGAACGTGGGGCCAACTCTACGAGCTACAAAGATCATGAGGAAGCCCAAGGCATAGTGTTTTCAATAGTATGAGTAATTGTTCAGGCTTCTGCAGTACTTGCATGTAAGCTTCTAAACCCTAGACCCTAAACGCTTTATGATTGGGGGATCCTTGTGGGGGGTTTTCAATGCTGGGGTTCAGTGTTGGCAGGGGGTTCGGCCCCTAAAACCCAAACCCTAAACCCTAAAGGTTAATATTTGTTCCAGGTCGAAAGGGCACAGGGTAATAGGGGCCTTGATGATCCAAGTTGGCGTGTGGGGTATGGTTGGCCCCTTTAAAGCCCTTGAAACATGTTTGCAAATAAGATCTAAGGGAAGATCCAGCAGAACTGTCTTAGCTTCAGACTTGCATGTAGGCCCCGGATCAGCCCGTTCAAAGTTGAGAAAGGCATCCTAGACCCTAAAGCCCATAAAATAAGAATCCTTATCTGTTATCTCAATCCCTGTTAGAGGAGCTTGGTGCACTACGATGTCTGGTGCTCCGTACTGCACGCACAAGTTCTGAAAGGCTTCGCGCCCCTCCGGGTGTGTAGATACCTATATGTGCTTTGACTCCACGCCATGCTCTGCTTGTGAGTGCGGGCCGATATAAGATCATTCACATGCGGGTTTGGGGCTTTGGGGCAAACACCTGGGGCTGCGGTGTAGAAGTACACCTCCACGAACAACGTGCCGTATGCTTTGCGGGGGCTTGCCATGCTGTGGCAGCTTAAGGTTTACCTATAGTCTCCATTGTAGTTCCTTTTTTGGTTTAACCAAATATATATTAAGGAATTTATAAGGTATCCCCCAAAAAGGAACTACAATGGAGACTATAGGTAGGGTTTAGGGTTACCCACTTCGCAGTACTCTGCCAGATGCCTGTCTTGGACACGCCGGCCATCGGAAACCTCGCATCATGATTGGAGAGGGCGCCATTGGCGTAGATAGCTCGGTATGGAGAAACAGCGGGGCATGAATTGGCAGACTAGCTTGCTGCATTATATTAGGTTATAATCTAACAACGTAGGGACTGAAATGGAAGGTCAGTAGCAGTTAAATGATGTAAGTGTCAATGCCGCGATATACATAATCTCGCCGTGATATACATAATCTCCCTTTTGACGCAACAATTGGTATATATGGGTCTACCAGGACCTCAAAGTAAGCTTGAACTAGAGCCCTCAATAGTGTGCATTCGAGGTTCAACAGAGGGCAGTCACTAAACTCTAAACCCCTAAACCCTAAACCAAATCTCCAGAAACCTGATGCACGAGGAAACCCCCGCAGGTTCGCAGCATGGTACGGCCACGTGACAATCCCGTCTTAGTTTCGGGTGCTGTCTAGCGGGAACAGAAAATAGAGGTCTGATAATAAGTAGACTATAGGGTTTAGGGGTATATCATACTGAATCATACTGTACGTTTTGTAGCAAACCCTAAAGTATAAGACATTGAGTACGATCACAGGTTCTTCACGCCCCCATAGCAAGTTGATCCCTGACACCTTGTGAATAGTGCCATGGACAGAGCACGATCCAGAGTCTGTCCTAAACATGATATAGCGAAGGGCCAGAACGCGTGAAGGAGTTCACAATTGGGGCACACCACAATTACCCAGAGCTTCAACAATCATTATTAAAGGAATATACCCTAGATTATAATGGGACCCCTACGTACTATAACTCCAATGAAAACTGCTTAATTAAAGGGATGTTGGAATGTGTGAGTACGAATCATGCAACCCACGAAGCTTCTGAGCAAACCCTAGAGGTTCTAAACCCCGCACCCTCAATCCTGAACCTTCTGAACCCTACCCTAAGGCTCGTGGACCCCCATAGTGAAAGCCCAAACCTTAAACCCTAAGCCCAATAAAGCCTCCACCCCACTGAACCCTAAACCCTCAAGCCCGACCTGGACCCTGAAGAACCTCCCTTTTTAAGGAAAGATAGAAGGAACTCACCGGAAGGAACCCTCAAAAGGTAGGGTCTATAGGGTCCGGGTAACGCCTGAAACGGCAACCCCAAATATGAAAGCCTGAATCCGGAAACCCTCAGTAGAAGCCCAGCTGCAGAGCCCACTGAGCAGCATCTGCAGAGCCTCCCCCCGGTCGTCCGATGCCCAGGCAAAGGCCTCATAATGAAGGACATATATGGCTTCAGTTAAACGTTTCTTTGGGGCTTCTCATCCTAGCTTTGGATGATTTTGGGTAGTTGCGCACTCAGAGTAAGCTTACTCGGATTTGAGTTTAAGGCTTTACAAACCCGAAATTCCAAACCCTTAATGCCACAAGGTTCGGACCAGAAAATGCACAATACGGTCCGAGAGTTTGGAGCAAAAGGGGGGTTGATCCAACATACGGGGCTTCACCCCATCTCCTGACAGACGAAGCAAAAGCACATTTATGGAAAGCCCTATTATTAAACCGAACCATACCCCCAACAAAAACGGAACAAGCTAACAAGATCCCCAAGGGCCGCAGAATTCAGGGACTCTAAATCGAAACATGATAAACCCTAAAACCTGACAAGGTGTTAGAGGGTTCGGCTTCGGTTCTTGAGTTTAGGGCAGGGTTCTAAGCCAACCCCCCAAAGCCTTCACATCGGGTTCTACAGAGGCTCTGTTTGGATGTTGTCGGGGGTTCATATGGCTTTTGTAAGGATTCCAAACGAAACCCGGACCCAGAGCTGTGAAACACGAGGTTGAAACTTGTCTGGGCCCGGCATCATGGTCGCCGGCGTTACGTCTCCCCCGCTGGTGGGATTCCGGGAGATGACCCACATGCTTGCAACCATGTTCCTGCATAGCCACACCCCACAACTCTAGCTCTAGTGTGCCTCTTCAGTATAGCTTGGGTACTGCCCCCGTACAGTAAGAGCCTATGATAAGGGTACTACTATCAAGGGCCTAATATGTCTACTTATGAATATTATTAACTGTTACTGAGTGGGGGCAGTATCCAAAGTATCACCGTACACCATGGTCCTTATTGCGACTCTTGAGGATTTAATATAAGCCCGTAGAAACTCTATTGAGGCCCTATGAAAGCTTTTCGAGCTTCTGCAATACACCGACGATGATTTTATCTTATATAATATTATATCTCACACTATATCATATCAAACCAAATCAAATCATATCATGATATCATATGATATGTCTTCTGTACTGTATAGTATTACACTATATCAAACAACATTTCATACTATGCTATTTTACATGATATTATAGTGTATTCAGAATGTTACTTGTAATAAACGAGAAAGTGAGCTTCCCTGCCTTTCATCGACGTCAGCCCAGCCGCCTTGGCGGCACCTTCCAAAGAGACAGCCCCATGCTGACTTTAAGACTTTTAAGGTCTAGGGTTTAGGGGATTTAGGGTTTAGGGTTTAGGGCATTTGAGGGTTCTCGTGGCTTCGATAGATTCTGGTTTTGCAAGGGATCTAGATGAAGTCTAGAATTGGTTCGATATTTGGCTCTAGGATTTGGGGCTGTAGAGTTAATTAAGGAGTTGGTTCGGATGTTGACTGAGCTCTACAGAGATCTCGAAACCTTAGTTTCGCGGGTTTAAGAACGTTTGTAAGGTTTCCCTACCGGGTTCCTTTTTAAGGGTTTAGCTTTTCGGTCTGCCTAAGTTCAAGGGCTTCTGGTGTTTCTGGTATGGTTTTGACTCGGGTTTCGTCGATCTACTACAGGGCATGATAGAGTCAATGCACGTATACAAGGCCTCATATACATTAGCTTCAGTGCCAGCATACGTACTCTGTGGGTACATGGACCCGTGCGGAAATCGTAGTTGAACCTCTCAGGTAGTGAAGGCTTGGGGCTGTAAGACTCGAAGGTCTTATAGGACTTATAGGAGTGCAAATAATTGGAATAATTGGGTGTTAGGTATATTCCAATAGTATGACGATGAGATATTTATAATCGGTAACCCTGACAAAAAGTATTATACACACCTTAATTATTTGTCAGGCTTCAACAGTAACGTTTCTGTGCAAGGCAAGTCGCCCTTCAGAGCGCTGGCCGCAGGCATCGCCTGGCGACGATTCGGAGCGACGCAGAGTCACGGCAGGATTCCGGTTCGGATTTATGTCCTCAGTCCCTGAAAGTCTGCGCTTCTTTTTCGGGTATGTCATCAAGCGTAAGGCACCAGAGAGGGTGTTCGGTTCAGATAGAATGGCCGGTCTGCGAAGCGGCGATTTCGGCTAAAAGCTTACACACGGACTCTTGGTGAGTGGAAAACTCGGTTCCCCGTCAATGTTCGGGAAATCGGAACCGCTATCCTACGTCCTAAGCCAAAACCTAGATGGGTTAGCTTTGCCTCCGCAAACCATAATAGAGGGGCCTGCATAAACGTAGTTTAACGGGTGTGCTGGTGTACATGATGACATCATTGCTTCGGGACAAAAAAAGCAATTCCACTACTCATTATTCCGACCCTAGATTGTACACATGCGGACCCCATAGTCTGAGGTACCGCTGCCCGACGTAAGCCCTAAAACCCCCGACAGAGCCTCAAGCCCAAAACCGGAAGCCCTCAAACTCTAACCCTAAGCCCAAAGCCCGAAACCCGAACCCTAAACCCAAAGCCCCAAAACCCAAAGCCCTAAACCCCAAACTCTAAACCCTAAACCCAAACCCAAACCCCAAACCCCAAACCCAAAGCCCTAAACCCAAAGCGTAGACCCGAAACTCAAAGCCCTAAAGCCCTAAACCCCAAACCCCAAACTCTGAACCCTAAACCCAAAGCCCGAAACCCCAAACTCTAAACCCAAAGCCTTAGAGCCCTAAACCCCAAACCCTAAAAGCCAAACCCTAAACCCAAAGCCCTAAACTAAACCCAAAGCCCTAAACCCAAACCCCAAACTCTAAACCCAAAGCCCTAAACCCCCCAACCCCAAACTCTAAACCCTAAAACCAAAGCCATAAACCCCAAACTCTAAACCCAAAGCCCTAGACCCCACACTCAAAGCCCTAAACTCTAAATCCTGAATCCTAAACCCAAAGCCCTAAACCCCAAAACTCAAAGCCCTAAAGAGCCTGGCCCTGAACGCTCATGGCTTCCACCACGAAGCCGCCTTCCTCGGCTGTCCGGGCTGCTTGAGTTTAGGGTTTAGGGTTTAGGGTTTAGCGTCTAGGGTTTAGGGTTTGAGGGACTCGGTTTTTGGCTGAGGACGTTTGGGGTTCGGGGTGAATATATCCCCGTCTACAGTTCCTGTGACTTAGTATGCCGCTGTTATAGTATTATAGCATCCGGAAAAATTAAAGTAAGCCAACCCTCTACATATTCTAATTCTAAAAAATTTGGGTGTCATCATGCACAACGCAACTGTCGGCTGCACCAGTGGTGTTCTGGTTGTGGGGTTCTCTTCCCTCCGGTCGGTCTGGGCAGCATGGCAGTTGGGGGCGGAGTCACCCCGGTGCCGTCAAGGAGCCCCTGAGGGGAGACGGGCACCCAGAAGAGTTGAGGGTCCAAGACCACCGGGACCGTGATGAAGCCGGCATCTTCCATTTGCAAACAGCAATAGTCGAGGTTGCTGTGAAATCAGTTCCCAAAGTCGTCCATGCCTTTGGGACATAAGGCCAGCCCCAGTACATTTTCCATCAAGAAAACCGTTCTGTAATGGAACCCTCAACCCCACCCCCCTAGCCTAAACCCTCAAACTTGAATACGGCACCCTGAGCCTCCCTAAACCCTCAACCATCTAAACCTCCCTGAACCCTAAGCCGGAAAAAAGACCCACCTCAACCTTCATAAAAGCTATGTGCCGGGAGGCCCAAACCACTTCACCATGACCATACAATGCACAGGCTTGAGATTGACCCTTCTTCGATCCAAACCCGAAAACAAGGCCTGCCTAAACCCTAAAACCCCACACCCTAAACCCGAAGTCCTAAACCCGAAGCCCCAAACCCTTAAAAGNNAAACCCCTAAACCCCTGAACCCATGAACCATATAGAAGCCGCATAATGTAGGGGGCCATAATGATTAGAATAGGGTTTTGGGGAATATTATACTACAATTGTTGTAATAAGGAGCCCCCAAAATACTTTAGGTAATTTTGCTTCTATATTAGCAACCCAAAAATAGTATAGGTACTTTTTAGGCTTCTGTAATATTCGCAACCCAAAAATAGTATAGGTAATTTTTTAGGCTTCTATATTAGCAACCCAAAAAAAGCCCGAAACTCTCATCAGCATCGGCGAGAGTCTGGACTCGCCCCTGCTTTGGCCACCTGCCATAGCTTTAGGGCTTATAGGGCTTAGAGTTTGGGGCTTTCGGGTTTGGAGGTTTAGGGTTTTGGGGTTTAGGGCTTATAGGGCTTAGAGTTTGCGGCTTTAGGGTTTGGAGGTTTGGGGTTTAGGGGTTTAGGGTTTAGGGTTTATAGGGCTTAGAGTTTAGGGCTATAGGGTTTGGGGACTTATAAAGGCATATGGACTCCAAAACCCTGAACCCTAAAGCCTAAATCCTTAAACCCTAAAGCCTAACCACTGAATCAAGAATCTCCCTCAACGTACAGCAAAGATCCCTCTGCTCCTTACGGTGCGTTAAGGAGTTCTAGATACCCAGCGGGTCCATAAATACTACTATTGTGGAATATTCGGTCCCAAAGGATTATCGTTTTGGGGACCTAATTCCATAATCGCGGTATATATGGACCCTCTTGGATAGTACTTCTGCAGACCTCGATAATCCCTTTCCCAACAACTCCCTGAGCTTTGCTGGCGTATCATCAGGTTTCGACAAGAGCTTAGGGTTCTCGGGGGTAGAACGTGCAGATTTCTTAGGATTTAGGATTTAACGTGTAGGATGCTTACATGGTTCAACATCTGTCTCGGCTCAGGGTGCAAAGGAAAAGACTCTGAAACCCTGCCTTCAATTTCCAAAAATGTAACTGTATTTTCGTCAGCACGCACCTGCAGAGGTGGACCCATCTTGGTGTAGCCTGCCAGGCCTTTGGCACTCCAAATATTTAAGCTTGTTTGTTTTTGGGGTTCCGGGCTTGGGGTTTGCAAACCCTATAAACTCCAAACCGGGATCTTGGACCCGGCGTCTCAAGTTTGGGGGTTCGAGGTGTGGTGTTTGGGGTTTAGGGCTTAGGCTTCAGGGCTTCAAGTTGCAGAATTGGGATCGAGGCGAGAATGCAGCCATTCGCAAGACGGATACCTCCGCACCTGGAGTAACGAAAACATACAGCAAAGGAAATACAACCGAAGCAGAAACATCTTCCAGTCCTGACGAAGCAAAACAACCCTAAACCCCAAACCCTAAACCCCTAAATCATTTCCCGGCTGCTCCAAATACCCCAGCGTCCAAAATCGTCCAAAGCCCTGGAGCTGTGAAACGCAAAACCTGAAACCCTGGAAGACCTAACCTCAAGTTAAAGGATACGACAGGTGGGGAGTTTAAGACCCTAAACCCTAAGAATCCTAAACCCTAGAACCCTAAAAACCTGAAACCTAAACCCTAAACCCTATTTAAACCCAAAGACCCTAAACCCTAAACCCTAAGACCCTAAACCCTAAGACCCCCAAACCCTCAACCCTCAAGCAGAAGCTGCGACCGAGACTCCCAAGTTGGCCGACACGGACTCCGTGAGAGCCAGGCCGACGATGCCATCCTCAGGCTTGCTTCGGCTTAGGGGTTTCGGGTTTTAGGGTTTTGGGGCTTTGTTTCAGGGTTTCGGGTTTAGGGTTTAGGGTTTAGGGCTTGCTTCGGCTTAGGGCTTATAGCGGTTTTGGGGTTTTGGGTTTCGGGTTTAGGGTTTTTAGGGTTTAGGGCTTCGGCTTAGGGTT